GACCATCTTTCTTTTTTTGTTTTCAGCCACCCTTGTCACCGGAAAGTACACCGAAAAGTGATATTAGCGAAATTGTTTTTAAAAAAATAATTCAAACATAACTGAAAAAACCAAAGGCGAAGGTGGTTTGAAGGTCATCTTGATGAGGCACACCTTTCGGTAATTTTCTTTTAATTTTTTGGGCACTTTTGAAAATCGGAGTTACTTTTAACGGTCTTTTTCAGACGTTTTTAACGGTGTGACCCTCTTGTGATAAAGGAATTCAAACATATGAACCACTTTGATAAAGAATGAAACACACCCTATCTGAAAACGGGCCCAATCACAAGTACATTATATTGTCCGTACTTTTCCCAAGTTGGTAATATCTAATAGGACGATTGTAACTTATTACTCTGTCCTATGTTCTTGGAAATTTTTACTTTGCACATCACTTTTTTGGATGATATTGAACTTTGCACCTCACCTTTTGGATGATATTCAACTTTGCACCTCACTTTAAAAAATCTTTGACTTTGCACCCCATCATATAACATTTTGTGGGAAAAAATTTGATTGGAGTGCAAAGTCAAAAGATTTTTAAGGAGAATGTGATGTAAAGTCAAAGTTTTTTTGGAGTTGGAGTGCAAAAGTTCAATATTGCCCAAAAAGTGGGATACAACGTCAAAATTCCGGCGCCGGAATTTTGACGTTGTACCCCACTTTTTGGGCAATATTGAACTTTTGCAAAAAAAAAACACGGGATTGACACGGAATTTTGGCACGGATTATCGATTTTTCGTGCCAAATAGCTCGTGCCAAGTGTTTTTGGCACGGATTTGACATAATCCCTGCCAAAATCCCTTCCAAATCCCTGCCAATCCCGTGTTTTTTTGGTAGGTGATCCCATAAACAATTTCTTTTATCTGTACGTAAATAGTTGTATTTCCCTTTAGTTTCCTGTAATTATATTACAACTTGATCCATATCAATCATTCAATACTTCATATATATATAGTCCTGTAGACATATACTTCATCAATAAAATATTGTTCAATCCTTCAATTCTACTATTTTTTCCATATTTTAGTTGGCTCAACACTCTATACATGGCCACAGGACTACATGTACTCCATTTTGTATAGGGGAGGATCTATGTTAGAGCTATGGTGGGCTGAAGCTCAGAGCAAAGTAAATAAAAAATTATTATTAAGGTATTATTTTTTAAAAATTCCATCCAGCCCACCTCAAAAATTTCTATGACCCAGTCGAATTTTTCAGTCCAACGCATAAAACAAAATCATAAAATCTAAAATCTGATCTAAATGTTATATGCATCGCTCTCACTTAATAATTGGCACCTAGTAGATATGTATAAGGGTTTGATTAATTGACATGTTTACAGTAACTTGTAAAGTGCTTGAGTATCTTCAAGGACATTGCTCAAAAGTGAATTTTCGGATAGAAGTTCATATATAGTATTGTACACTGCCACTTTCCATGTTTTGAAGTCGTGTTCTATTTACTTTTGATGCACAAAGTTATAAAAATAACGAGTATTCTCTATCAAGACCTTCAAAAAAATTGTTGGATATCTTGGTAACCATGAAACATGTTTCTACTACACAACTGATCATTCTTGGGGAATTGACAGAAAATGGACGAGAAGACTTTCTTGAAAAAGTAAAGGAGTTTTATGGTTGGTCATTGCCGAAAATAAAATATTGTTGAGCACCATTATCACTCTGATGTTTCCAATGAGGCAATGGACTTTGTATTGATGGAGTTGAGGATCCGGTTTAATGATAAATCAGTGGAACTACTTTCTTAAGTACTTCATTGGATCTCAGAAGTTCATACGAGTTATTTAATGTCGATGCTATTTGTACTCTTGCAAGTTCTATCCTGAAGATTTTAGTAGCCATGATATTTGTGCTTTGGAATTCGAGGCTTCGAGCTGCAACACTATGTTCATGATGTATTCATGATACAAAGTTTTCAAGTATCTACACTTGTTGAATTATAGGAGGAGTTGACTGAGAGCAGAAGATATGATTTATATTTTATGATGAGCAGATTGATTTGCCTAATATTGATCTTACTGTTCTCTTGCAACAGTAGAATGATAATTTTCTGCCATCAAACTTCTAATGACAAAACTTCACAACAAAATGGATGATGACTTTCTTGCTAATTGCATAACACTTTATATGGAAAAGACCTTACTCTTAGTATAAATGTAGACTCTATCGTTGACAATTTTTTCTCAAAGCCTCGTCGAGAACAAATTCAGTGTAGAACTCTTATATTTGATTTTTTGCTTATTTTGAAAATTTTCAATGTATTACTACCTCCGTCCCACTAAGATTGGGACGGAAGAAGGTGACACGATTAGAGCCACACAATCTTTACCAAATTTGATATGAGACAATCTTAGTGGGACTTCCCGAAAAGGTAAAATGGAACAATCTTGGCAGGACGGAGGGAGTATCAATTAAGAGTTTCAGCCCACCCCAACATGAAATCCTGGATCCGTCCCTGATTTTGTATAAACTATAAATTTTATGTTTTTTTAATTATTTAAAAATATTGAGGAAATGAGAAATTAAATAAATCAATGTAACTTATCTTGGACTATTAATGTTTGTCATGGTGATGGCAGAATTGCAGAGATTCAAGAGGAAAAGTACGTAGAGTTTAGATAACAGAATTGCAGAGATTCAAGAGGAAAAGTACGTAGAGTTTATTGAATAAGTGTGAAGTGTCAGTATTTGGTAAAGACATTTTATATTGAACGTGTCATGACTAACTGGTGTTTTGTACCGTTCAACTGCTCTCTCATTTTTTGTTGTACAACATAATTGACATTGATCATTTCAAACATGTAACTTCCTCTTTGAAAGTGTCTGAGTGATACATGTCATGGTACCCTAAATGCTTGACAACCACTATTGTGATCTCTTAATAACGTGCATGGGATAATTCTCGATCGGATAAATATAATTAATAAGATTCTTGAACATCATGAGCATACTTGTAAACCTAAGGTAGCTAAATTTCATGCTTTGCTTTAAATATTTTTCTTAATGAACAATAGTACCTCAAGAAAAACATGCAAGTAAAGAAAAAGGTAAAAGATGTTACGTTTGCTATGTACAATTTATGCTTTAATTGTCTCAACAGTAACTACTTATATATTGGGTGATGATCATTTATGATTTTCTAAATTAAAGCCTTTTGTTATAATTTCTTATTTGTATATAATACATGTATTTTATGAGATGCATCATAATCCTTTCTTAATTTCCTCATTTAATTTAATTAATAATTAATGGAGATTAGTACTGGACGGATTAATTGTATCCCCATCGTCCATTAATGCGGCTGTCGTTCTCTTAAATCTACCCTCTTCAACTTGTTCGCTCTATCATTTATTATTACACGCTAATCAACTTAACATTATTCTCTCGCCGAATAAGCTGACAATTTCAAACTACTTCTACAACTACTAGTATAATTTAATTAATTACTACCCTTGGTTCTTATTTTTGTCAATATAACATGCTCCGTAAAAGACAGACCAAAGCTCAGAACCATTAAAATAGGTCATTTAGTTTACTTGTGCGCGCAATTTTTATTAGATGAAGCATATATCAAAATCTAACAAGTCACATTGTTTCAAAATTTTGTTCTTACTAAAGAAAAGAAACAATCAATTTAATTACAATTGATTGTTCACTAGTTAGAATTGCTCAATGCCCGACCTACTCCAATTTCCAATCTTACTCGGGCAACTCCTTTCCGTAATCTTCAATGCGCAAATGTAATTAGAATTGTTCACATGCAGCTGCACGACCTATTCCAATTTTACTTGGGCAATTCTTATGAGATGAAATAAACAAAAAAAAAATCTTATGAGATGAAGCATATTTCAGAATACAAGTAGTCAGCTTGTTTAAAATTTTTGTTCTTAATTACTAAATCAAAGAAACAATCAAACTAATCAACAAATTAATTTAAATTGAAAGTGTAGAGTACCGATTGCTAAAATATTTCCCTTGAAATAGTGAAATTTGCTGGCCGCCTCACTCTTCCGTAGATAGCAGAAAAGAATATGTAGTATGAAATGTAACATTTGGGCTTGGCCCTTCTAGAACCGACCCTGAATGCATAAGTAGTGTAGAGTTTTCATCACATAATAATAATACTATAATTTGGAACATCTAAAACTATAATTATAAAATTATTTTATGAAAGGAGTAATGAAAGGAAATTTGGTGGTATTTCACAAAAAGAAAGAAAATTTGGTGGACGGTTGCATCAAGAGTAAAAGTAAAAAAAAAATCTAAATACTGAACTAAAACATATGCAAAGTGAACAAATAAGATCAGCTTTTATTTCAACATATGACTAATTCACTAGTAATTGCTCAAGTTTTATGCTTTAATGTAACTAAATAATACATTTTTTTGGAATAAAACATAGAAAAATTACACTAATATTACTCTCGAAAAAATGGTGGACAAAAATGTGACTTAATCACAAGTAGCCACTATAATTTTGTTCATAACAACTACATTATAGTTACTAACATACTCTCTCCATTCTATAATACATATCTCTCTTTCCATTTTGGGATGTTCTCTAATACATGTTTCTCTTTCAATTTTTTGAAAGTTTTTTCAAAAAATATATCTATATATCATCATTCCATTTTCTACTTTTTCATTCTTTTTCCTACTTTTTCATTTACACACATTTAACTTTTTTATATGTATACGAAAAAACTGTAAAACATAATTACACCTAGTCGTAAACTTTGTCTACATTTTAATCAAATAAGAGCAATTCTTTAAAAGTAAATACACAAGGGGAAAAACTAGCTATAGCCTATAGGGTTGAGTAGTTTTAAGTTTCACTAATACTCCGTAACTTTTTACTCCATTGACTTTGGTTTATACGTACGAAGTATATTCTCAAGTATATATACCGATCGAGTATGATATACTCAACTACACAACCTTTAGTAATCATCCCATACATCCACCGCAATCACACCGTTCCGCCGCCGATAAATTATAAGCAACATATATATCTAGCTTTTGCTGGCGGCTATATATGGAGATGCGGTGGTCGTCGCCGGAAGTAAAATCTCCGAGGAAGGAGATCCAAGGTCCCCGCCCAACGCCGCTCAAAGTACACAAAGACTCCCACAAGATAAGAAAGCCTCCTCCGGTGCCGCATCCGCCGCAGGCGGCGCCTCCCCGGCCGCCCGTTATCATCTATACTTTGTCCCCCAAGATTATCCATGCAAACCCTAGCGACTTCATGTCCCTAGTTCAGCGCCTCACCGGCTCACTCCCGGCCGAGCCGTCCTCCTCCTCCCAGGCGGCCTTCCAAGGCTATCTCACCGGCGGCGCGGTGTCTCCGGCGGCCTGCTTTGCTTCTTTGGAGAAAACCCGGACGACGCCGAAGGGTAGGGACCCGCAGCTGTCACGTGACGTGGAAGGGATGGTTGGGGGTGTAGAGATTAGCGGTGAGGTCGAAAGGAGCGGATACTTCCCCGCGGGGGTATTATCGCCAACTCCGGCTTCTTTCCCGCCTATTCCTCCCAGCTTTTTCTCGCCGCCGTCCGATCAAAACCATCTAGGGTTTTTCACAGATTTAATCAGTCCTGTGCTGCACAGTAGCAGATACCACCCAGAAACCAGCTTTTACATTTCTAGCCCTTCGATTCTCAATAATTTCATTTCGCCTCGGTTCATTTTCTCCCCAGGCTCTGCATCTCTTGAGCTTTTCAGTAATGACCTCTTTGACCTACCGGCAACCCACACCCTATAGCCGGAAAGTCTCGGGAATTTAAGGACAAGAGCGTTCATCGGGGAAGTCAACGGTGACTTTTCTACCAATGGTTTGATGTAATATAAAATCAGCAGAATTGTAAATTTAAAATGTAACGGGTCCGAATGAATCCCTTTCCCGTCCTAATTTATTGCGAGGAATTGTAATGGCTGGCCGGCTATTCTGGTTGAGCAACTTTAGTTAAGCATTCATGTTGTATGTAGTACATAATATGGAGTATTTCTTTTTCTTTCCAATAAATTGAATTTTAAGCTGCTATTAGCCGGGACTAAGAGTAGCCATATATAGTTTTTTTTGGATGAGTAGTACTAAAGTATTTGAATTGTGATAGGGAAGAAGATCAGGATGAAATCATCTTACTCATAATGTGAGATTACAAAGTATTTATACAGTGTAGTAGCTCAACAAACTCACAGAATCTAACACAAGCCCGTAACTTACTATAACAGTACTAACAGTCTATTTAATACGGTTAACATTCCCCCTCAAACTGTTTTGGAAAATCAATCATACTCAGTTTGTTTCTAAACTCAAATGTTAATAGAGGCTTGATCAGCTTGCTTCAATGTGACTTTCTCTCGTACAAAGAATAGGTCAAGCTCCATATGTTTGATATGAGAGTGGAGTGCAGGATTATGTGCAAGCTGAACTGTACTCAGGTTGTCACAGTAGATCATGGGATCAAGGAAAGGAACTTGAAGTTCTTTGAGCAGGAATTGAATCCACAAAATTTTTGAAGTTGTGTCTGCTAGGCTTTTGTATTCAGCTTCTGCTGAGGATATGGCCACCCTTAATTAGTTGTTTTCTGGACCACCAAGAGATAATATTGGACCCCAGAAAGATACATGACCCAGCTGTAGATTTCTCGTCTCACTACAAACAAACTGCCATTTACCAACAGTAAGAAAACTGTTGGTATAAATACATAAACTGTTGGAATAGACATCAATTGGCTATACCAACGGAAACGAATGCAATTCCCACAGAAATTTGGGTGCTGGTATACGTTCTGTCGCTATAGACCAAAACCAACACATTTATTGCCCGTCGGAATAGCTCATTAAATTGTACCAACACTACACTAACCGTTAGTAATCGTATTTACTGTTGGTATACATTTTAACCAATTTTACTTAGCTTTATGCTATAGCAACACTTCATATGGCGTTGGTATTGCTCTTATTGTATTTAAAAACAATTAAATTTTAATTCATATTCAAAATACTCAAACATACATTCAAAATAGAATTAAATATTGAGGTCTAAGAGATCTAAAATTAAAACATTATTTCGAATACGATTCAAAAGTACTAATTAATCATTCAGAAATTGCCCTAAATAGTAGCAAAAACGTTTTGAAATTCCAAAATAGGAGTATCATGTTTTTTATTCCCTGAATATGAGTAATCTTCCAAGTTTGGAAACAAATCTTCCAAGTTTGGAAAAAAATGCCATGTTAAAAGCCTTGTAATGCCAAACTTGGCAGAAATTTACTCCTATTTAGGAAATAAAAACATGATACTCCTATTTTGGAATTTCAAAACATTTTTACTCCTATTTAGGGAATTTTCTCTTAATCATTTTAATAAAGTGAATAACAATCATACTAAACAAAGAAATGCAATATCAAGTCATACTATCATTGACTACCATATGACTACATCCAAGTATAACATAATTATTTGTTTGAAGCAAAGCAAGTTCCATTTTTGTCCAAAAGTTTCTTTATCTTTCAACACTTGAAAGACTAAATCTTGATACCTGAAATTTTAAAAAAATCACAATGTTTACCAAATGAATAATAAACTATAAGAAAGATTTTCATATAGATGAAAAGTACAGATGAATTAAACCATCAAAAGAAAGAAATATAAAAAGAGAAATACATCAGTAAACCTTGAACTTCAATACATTCAAATTGTGAACTAGTAATAAGAAGTAATTTCATATTATGTTCACACATCAAACTAATAACCAATTTTCCATCATTTGCAATGGAACACAATAAGCTGGATTGTATCTGTGATAACATATGAGGGCACAATGACAATTCTTGCCACAAACTTGACAAGTAATTGGGTTGCGACCACCATTACGAGAACCTCTGCCTCTGTAAGAGCCTCCTCTACCTCTACCTCTGTAAGACGGAGTGCCACCCGAGTCATCAAACTGAGCCACTTGGGCTGAAGCATCACCTGAAGGATTGTGAGGTTCATCATCATTGGTCTGTGAGGAATCTTCAACTCGTGCAACATTGGCTAAGAATAATGTCTACTGAGATGAGTCACGAAGTTTCTTCAGGCGTAATTCCTTCGCCTACGTAAAATATAGTTTTATTAAAAATAAAAATTTTAGGAAAACTTCAAGTTTTACGGAAACTCGGTTTTATATACGAAAAACTGATTTTTACGAAAACTTTGATAAACAAAAAATTCATCTTTTACAAAGTCTGATGAATAAACTAAATTATTCGATGAAGAACCACCAATACTCGGTTACTTAGGTTTCGGTGTATAGAACGTGATGAGTTACACTTATAATAAAAGAAAATTAAAATGATTAAAATTATCTTACATGGGTTATGTTTAGTAATTCTAGGTAGCGCATAAAGCAATTCTTTATTTGGATACATAAGGCACGTTTGTTAAAACTAAACTTGACTGAATCGGAACAATTTGTTGAAATTGTTAATTTCTAGCTGAAATGACTGCATTGGTTAAATCATTGAAATATTATACTCCCTCCATCCCGTAATTAACTTCCCACTTCAATTTGACACATATTAAGAAAATAATGTTACTAAGGGTAAATTTTACTGTTTTGACACTGTTTTGCATTGTTTTGCAATGTTTTGATGTAGGCAATTTGCCAAATAAGGAAGTGGGAATAAGTGGGAGTTAATTTCGGTACTGCCCAAAAAGGAAAGTGGGAAATTAGTTTCGGAACGGGCGGAGTATTTTAAAATGTACCTTGTTAATAACTTTAAGAAAAAATATATGAGAAATAGCTAAATGCTCTATAGTAAGTTAACCCAGAATATTACCCCACGTGAATGATTTTTGAAAATTTCACAATTCTGCGGGAAAAATCAAATCTACGATTTTTGGTTAAAAAAGGCTGATAAGCTAAAAACAAGTTGCCAAACGGGTTCATAGGTTCGGGCTATGTTTGGGATTTCGAGATATATGTGGAGGCTAATGTCTGAATTAAGATTTATTGTTTGAGCTAATGACTATTGTCTTGACTTGAATTTTGAAATGTTGCATCCGAACTATTAGTTGAACAAGGTAAATATGTTTGATAAAAAAAAGGTGAAAAACGTCCATATAATATGACCTGACCAGATCATATCATACCAAATAAAATCAGATTCGATCATAATAGACTAATTAGGCAAAAAACAGTCAATTTTAAAACATTTTAATGGAGTTCTCCCTAAAATTTAGAACCATATATTAAATTAGAATTCAAAAAATATCTTGAAATTGTTCATGTGTAAAATTTGGAGTTAATTAGCTTATTATAGAGTTAATCACAATTCAAGCAGAATTGTGATAGGCATAGAAAACTAAACTATCTTATTATAGAGTTAATCTTTCATATTTTGAAAATATTTAAATTTTTATTTAATCACCAAAATTGAGACTATGGCACATGATTTGGTACTAAAATATAAAAATCGATTAGGGGCAAAGCAGATATTTAAAATCGATTATTTAATTACTTTAATTAATTTAGTGGTTGTGAATAATCGTTCCGTGGCTATATATAGAATGACTCTTTTGTTTTTGGGGAATTCTATTCACAAACACACTTTTACTAAATACAGCCACATATTTTGCATAGTTCCTATTATGTCCTTAATAATACTCAACTTAATACAGCCTCCCTCGTAGGTAAATCACGTATGTGCATCGCAGAGAAGACGTCCGTGTATCGGAAAGAAGGAAACAATACAAATAGTTACAGAGTAGTTTCTCTTGTCTGCCATAGCTAGCGAAGGAAGCTTTTCCGGTGGTTAACTCTCACCAAACTCTCTGCAATTTATAAGCACATATACTCAAGTTGATCGAGAGAGAGCTCAATCATCTTTTACATATATGCTTTCTTCTACTGCTCTTCTTATTTAATTTATTACCTTTTGACCCTATGCACATCACACGCAGAAGCTCTAAGGTTTGATCCAGAACACTCATTGTTAGTACACACATATTTATGCTCTTTTTTTTGCTGAGAAAAGTAAGCAACACCGGCTAGAAGATACGAGTAACACTGAAGCTCCTGGCGGGTGTCTTGGGGAAGCCGAAAAAGTAATCAGAAATCAAATCCGGGAAACAGAAGTAAATTTTGGGGAAGAAGTAGAATTCATGGGCTGTTGCGGAAGCGGATAAGTTGAGATTAGGGACCGGTGTCTTCTTCTGGGCGAAGATGATAAAAATTGTGGTGAGCTTCTCAATCCTTCAATTTTGTCAACAACGTCCACTGGATAATAAGCTTAAGAATTCAAGTAACGTGAGATAATTGTTCATCTTTCTCTTATTCAAGATTCCCTTGGGAGACGTAGCCTACGAGAGCCTGTATTAAATTGGATACTTAGATAGTAAGGATATAATAGGAATTATGAAAAACATGTGACTCTATTTAGTAAAAAGGTGGTTGTGAATAGAATTACCCTTTGTTTTTTGGAAATTCAAGTTTAAAATATCCAATCGGTTGTTCCTGTCCGGTCTTGTCTTGACCCAATGCTCACGCCTTTTAACATATGGACCTCACATTCTACAAACGGACTAAAGCCCAATTTCTAAATTGTTTCTTCAATTATTACGACGAATCTAAAATGAAGCATCCAAAACCCATGATTTCGCCAGCTTCCCCGCTCTTGGCTTCCAATTCAACAAATTGCAGTTCTTCCATATACATCGTCACTCGGCAGGTATATCTTTTTCTACTGTGGATTTTATGGAGTTGTAGGCAATTTGCAGAATCTGTCATATTCTAGTAGAATTGTTTCCCAGAATTCAGACCTTGTTTCAAACCTCCTCCCCAGTCCAGACCTCCAAACCTCCTCCATCGTCGGTCTTCCCTATCTTGTGCCGCCTGTGCGGCTGTGACTCTGTTGCAGACTCGCAGGAGTCGCAGCGACAATCAGTCTTCCCTGTCCTGTGCGGCAACATGCCTACCCCTCCGCCTCCACGCCTCGCGTAAGTCGCAGCATCCGAAGTAGTCCTCCTACAGATTCCGATGAATTCCTAGGGGATTGGTGAGATTGTGGGTTGGATA